AACGGGCTAGTTTTGCATTTGACCGAATTGTGTCAGATATTTGAATTTTCCTGGACGACTTACCAGTAAGTCGTCTCTGGGAAACTTAAAATTTCAATATTTTATTAATTCAAAACGACTTACGGATAAGTCGTCTTAGGTTAGTTTTGTAATTAAAAAATAAAACTTTAATTATAACTTTTCTCAGAAGACTTAATCTTAAGTCGTCTGGGTCGTCCAGCTAGACGACATATTATAACAACGTACATCACAAACTAAGTGGTATCGCATCCTCCGAACCTTATTATCTTGGCTGCATGACTGTGTAAGTCGTCTGATATCTTTTGACTATAATTCCACGTAGACGACTTATTAGACGACTTACCATTAAGTCGTATGGTAAGTCTTCTTTGTAAACGACTTATAAAACGACTTACTGTTAGGTCGTCTGGTAAGTCTTCTTTGTAGACGACTTATCGTTAAGTCGTCTGGTAAGTCTTCTTTGTAGATGACTTACTGTTAAATCGTCTGGTAAGTCTTCTTTGTAGACAACTTTCCGTTAAGTCGCCTGGTAAGTCTTCTTTGTAGACGACTTACCAGTAAGTCGTCTGATAAGTCGTTCACAAAGAAGATTTACAAGACGACTTAATGGTAAGTCGTCTGTTAAGTCGTCTACGTAGAATACTTACCAACGACTTAATGGTAAGTCGTCTGATATCTTCTGAGTTGTTTTATTTTAAATGCAGAATGTTGATGCTTGGATTTATGTGCTGAGGAAGAGGTACACTGAAAATTCACAAGCGTTCAGGAGCGAGAGGATTTTCTCCCTTGATCATCTCTTTTCTCAGCAATGGAGAGCCAACTACAAGGATTTTAAAGAATCGGAGTGTGATCACAACGGTTTGGCAAAAAGACTCCCTGGTGGACCGTTTAATTATTATTCAGACGCTGTACCATCATTTTGTCGGTCGGACAAGATGTGGGGGTGGGGGTGGATATTGATGATATCTATGCGCCAGTGAACTACAACAACTGTCATTGGATTGCTATATGGATATCGATCCCTAAGAGACACATCGTCGTCTGGGACAGCATTTGTTCCTCTATCTCCGACGAAGAACTCAAACTGGTAATGGAGCCTTTACAGCCCATGGTCCCTTATCTGCTTGTCAAGTTATCTATCTCTGATGATCTGTGTTCCTAATACTCCCTGGAGCCATTCACATTTGAACGTGCACCCAATGTGCCTCAGGCCCGAGCTGGTGATTGTGGGTCTACGCACTAAAATACATTGAATGTCATGCTCTTGGGCTGTCATTTAATACAATGACTTTTCTAAGAACAACGCCAACGTGAAGGATATTAGGGATAAGATGGTTGTAGATGTATTTAATGAGCTCTCTCTCCCGCATTTGTATGAAAAAGGATGATTTTGAGGAGATGGGTGCTTATGATTAGGCTGATGTTTGTATTCGAACTTGATTACGCTGATGTTTAGGATGCTTGTTGTATGTTGTGTTTGTGTTTGTTGTGTTTGTTGTGTTTATTCGAACTTGGTTGTATGTTGTGTTTGTTGTACAGAAGACTTCAATTAATTTTGTTCCTTAAATTTGGTCTGACGACTAAGAATTAAGTCGTCTGGAAAGTCATCCAGCCGGAAGATTTTCCAGACGACTTAATTATTAGTCGTCTGAGAAGTCTAACACAAATACTTAAAACATACTCATAAAGCCTGGACGACTTAGTAGACGACTAATAATTAAGTTGTCTTGAAAGTCATCCAGCCGGAATATGAGTAGCTTATCTTCACATTGACTGTGAATGGGAGGGGTGGCTGAAGCTATCCTCATTTCTGCTGGTAATGAGTAGCTTATCTCCACAGTGACTGTGCTCATGTCCAGGTTATAATCTTCTTGAGCCATTGAAACAAGTTCAGCATGTGTCCTTCACTCAAAAAAACATTCTCGCTCTTTTGAAATTATCAACCACAAAATCACAACAGCCATCTTTGAACAACCATTCTCCATACACTGCATGTAACTGACGAATCACCTGCAAAAATTCAAAATAAAAACACTTTAGAAAACATAGAGAAAATGAAAGTTTACTAAACATTGACGCAGACGACATACAAGTAAATCGTCCGGACGAATTAACAATAAGTCGTCCGGACGAATTAACAATAAGTCGTCCGGACGACTTAACGATAAGTCTTTCAGATAGGTCATTTTTGCAATTGAAATTTAAATTAGACGACTTACTTCTAAGTCGTCGGGCTTTGTATGTTAAAAAAAAAGCTTGACGACTTTTAAGTAAGTCGTCTAGAAAAAACGGGTTATTTTTGCATTTGACCAAATTGTGTCAGATATTTTACTTTTCCTGGACGACTTACCAGTAAGTCGTCTCTGTGAAAGTTAAAATTTCAATATTTTATTAATTCAAGATGACTTGCGGATAAGTCGTCGTAGGTTATTTTTGTAATTAAAAAATAAAACTTTAATTATAACTTTTTCAGAAGGCTTAATTTAAAGTCATTTGGGTCGTCCAGCCAGACTACTTACTATAAAGTCGTCCGTGATAAGCAAGGTTTGATTAAAAAAATATGGGCGACTTTGCTTATCACAAACGGCTTTATAATATGTCGTCTAGCTAGACGACCCAAACGACTTTAAATTAAGTCTTCTGAGAAAAGTTATAATTAAAGTTTTATTTTTCAATTAGAAAACTTACCTAAGACGACTTATCTGTAAGTCGTCTTGAATTAATAAAATATTGAAATTTGAACTTTCCCAGAGATGATTTTCTGGTAAGTCGTCTAGGAAAATTCAAATATCTGACACAATTCGGTCAAATGTAAAACTAGCCCGTTTTTCCTAGACGATTTACTTATAAGTCGTCAAGCTTTTTTTTTAACATACAAAGCTGGACGACTTAGAAGTAAGTTGTCCGTGTGACAAGAAGACTTATCCGTAAGTCTTCAACATCCAGAAGACTTACGGGTAAGTATTCTCCGCGAACAGATCTGGTAAAAATTTCAATTTCATACCTTAAACTACGTGAGATGAATTCCTTTGCACACAGAGTCTTCTCCAACCACCCAGAACATCAAACGAAAGTAACCCACCAAGAATTGTATGCTTAAATGATTCTATCAACCATAAAAAATTTGAAATCAAAAGCTTGGGTTTTATGTATGAATATAGAGACAAAGTGAAGGAGATGTTGTTTTTAGTTCATAACAATTGAGAAATAGAGTATGGGTATCGATTTTAAGTGCATTAAAAGCTTCAAACTGGTTGTACAAAGTTGTTGGTTTGTACAAGGTTGTTGGGCGTATTCATGACAATGGAAATGTTGTAAATACTTGAAGATGGTGAGGTTGAGAGAGTAAAAAAACCATTTTCGAAAAAAATTACAAAAAAAATTTATTGGCATTTTCGTAGATAAAATGAAGATGTGGGGTGAATAGGGCAAAAGAAAGATGAGTCAAAACAAGAAGTTAATTTGTGTTTGACTTTGAATTTTGAGTCAATTTTGCAAAAATGCCACTATTTTTATCTACTACAAAATAAACATATTAGGTCCATATATTCAGTTACATATTTTTGATTATGTACATTAGTTTATTTAATGTGTAACATTTCTAAATAATTATAAGGATATCAATAACAAATCTTTTTTTAATGTAATTTTAAATTTTAGTTTTACTAATCACAAAATCTGTTGAGACAAAATCTAACAAAATCATTTTTAAAATTTAAATATTTTTAATTCATACACTGATTAATTTATTAATTAGTATTATAATATTATTATAAATTAATCTTAATTAATATTTTATTATAAACATAATACAATAAATATATGCTAATTTTATAAATTTTATAAGTAAAGTCTATATTATATTAAAATAGTAGTAATAAATGAATTACATATAAAAATTATATTAAATTGGTAAATTTTGAGAAAAACTCATTTAAATAAAGAAATAAAATATCATCCACCAAAGTGACTAAAATATCATTTACCTTTTAAAGATATTAAACATTCCTAAATTATTTAATAAATTTTATAGAAAATAAGATTGTAAGCATCTGTTAATTTTTAATATTTATAACTATATATTATTTATTTATTTTCAAAATGACAGCAATATATTATATAAAAACGATTCAATACTAATTATAGTATAATATATATATATATATAGTATAAAAAAATTATATTTATAAAATAAAAGTTTACCTGCACGGATGTGCGGGTCAAAATCTAGTGTTAAATTATTGTAACATTTATGAAAGTTTCCAAAATTTAAATGATAAAATTTAAATATATTTTAAGAAAATAGATATTTGTCAATTTTTGTTTGAGTTTCTTTAAGCTACCTTAAAGATAACGTAGTTGAAATTTTGAAACAACTCTTAATATTTGTTCATCACATCACACAATTTTCTATAGTTCTTACATTTTTCATTTGAATTCAAAACAAATAGGCAAGAATTTGATTTTTTATAAATTTTATTTATCAATTAGTTTATTTCTATTTTTGAATTCCATACATTTTTCATGGAAGATAAAAAATTCAAATATTCTTAAATTGACAAACAAATCAGAATTTACCAATATTATAATCAACATAATAATATATTAACTTTAACTAGTTAGATCTTTTATCGGGCTTTTATCCTTTCATAATTTTGTATCTCATCATCTTGAGTATTTTGTAAAACCAGAATGCGCTAACGAGTTGTAATCCCAACGCCATTGCCTATAATACAAGAAAATAAATTATGAAATATCATTCTGTTTCAGTTGATATTTGTGATATATGATGAGATTAATCAACTTAGTGCGGATACTTTCTTAACAAGATCTTAATTTCAATAAGAATATAATGGCGTTTAAATTTGCTTCATATATTTATAAGAACTATCATACGGCGAAATTTATGAGACAATAAAAACTCAAAACCCAAAAGAAAATCGAAATGTATCATGTAGTATAAAAGTTACCTGGATTAGGATGGGATTATCAGCAGTTATCGTGACGTACACGAGGTAAGGTCCACCCACCATTCTCGCTAGTGAGAAAATTGTTGCAAAACACACCTACATACCATTTATTACTAGTTGACTATCCTCATATACATATCTCAGTGAGTACAAATATAAATTCTTTTATTAAAGTTAACAAGATTTGAGAAATTTACTATATTTACGTGTTGGTCATAATTTTTGATAGTTATATTTCTAAACGATGTTTTTTTAGCTTGATATAAAAGATAAGAAACATGGAACGTCTAACATGGAACCTACAAAAGAATTCAAGGACTCCCTGGTTTCTAACCCATCTAAGATAATAGTTAAAAACAATTTTTACCACATACTAAATGATGACAATAGTAATTCTAATTCATTAGTGTTATGTATGCTAATACTAACATCGGCAGCAAGATTGATATCGGTGTCCTTGTAACCAATTTCTTTAAGAATCTCCCTGAGGTGAAGGAATGGACTTGAGATCTCTGTAATCCAAATTGCTGCAACCATCTCAGATGCGCACTTAATTCCATCATTAATTTGCAACAAGAAAAATCAGTTTATTTAAATAAAAAAAACTCAACTTGACCTAAGAATTAAACAAAATATATATTACCTTTCGGTAGAAAAGTCCAGCTACAAAACCAAGAATGCAGACAGAATGATGAACAGCATTATCAATGCTAAGGACTTGATCAAAGTGACTACAAATGAGATCGTAGATCATGTAAGATAACGAAAACGCCATTGTTTCCATCTGCTGGAGAGATGACGTAGAAGCGATGG